TACCACCAAACCAGCACTGCAAGAAATGCTAGAGGGACTGTTGTAAGAAGAAGGAATTGGAGGGGGGGACACAGGCATAAAGAATAAAAATGGCATTAAATAAGTACCTATCAATAGTAACCTTAAATGTAAATGGTTTTAATGCTCCAATAAAAAGACATAGGGTAGCTGAATGGGTAAGAAAACATGACCCATATATATGCTGTCTACAAGAGACACACTTCAGAATAAAAGATTCCCACAGACTGAAAGTGAAGGGATGGACAAAATTTTCCGTTTAAAAAAAAGCAGGGATAGCAATATTTATATGTAACAAAATAGACTTCAAAGCAAAGGCCATAAAAAGAAACAAGGCCACTACATAATACTAAAGGGATTGATACAACAAGAGTATATAACCCTGGTAAACATATATGCACTCAATATAAGAGCACCTAAATATATATAAAAACTCTTGGGGAAATTTAAGGCAGAGAACAACAGTAATAAAGTCATAGTAGTGGGCTTTAACACCACACTAACATCAATGGATAGATCTTTAAGAAAAAAAATCAACAAGAAAGCAGAGATCTTAAATGACACACTAGATCAGATGGATTTAACTGACACAAACAGAACATTCCACCCCAAAGATGCAGAATATACATTCTCAAGTGAATATGGGACATTCTCAAAAATAGACCAAATACTAGGTCACAAAATAAGTCTCTACAAGTTCAAGAGGATTGAAATAATATCCAGCATCTTCTCTAATCACAGTGGCATGAAACTAGAAATAAATTACAATAACACTCAAAAACAATTTAACACATGAAGGCTAAATAGCATGCTATTAAACAATGAATAGGTTACAAATGAAATCAAGAAAGAAACAAAAAACTTCCTGAAAACAAGTGATAATGAACACACAACAATCCAAAATCTAGGGGACACAGCAAAAGCAGTCCTGAGAGGGAAGTTCATAGCATTACAGGCCTATCTCAAGAAAGCAGCAGCAGCTCTAATAAACTATCTAAAACTACAACTAAAAGAATCAGAAAGAGAACAAGAAGAAAGGCACAGAGTAAGTAGAAGGAAGGAAATAATTAAGATCAGAGGAGAAATAAATGACATAGACATTAAAAAAAAATACAAAGGATCAACGAATCCAAGAGCTGGTTCTTTGAAAAGATAAACAAGATTGATGAACCTTTAGGTAGACTCATCAAGAAACAAAGAGAAAAGACCCAAATAAACAAAATCAGAAACAAAAGAGGTGAAGTAACAACTGACATCATAGGAATACAAAGGATTGTAAGAAAATACTATGAACAACTATATGCCAACAAGCTGTACAACCTGGACAAAATGGTAAAATTCCTAGAAAAAGACAATCTTCCAAAACTGAATCAGGAAGAATTAGAAAACATGAATAGGCCAATAACAACTGAAGAAATTGAAGCAGTAATAAAAATAAATAAAACTCCCATCACACAAAAGCCCCGGTCAGGACTGCTTCACAGGGGAGTTATACTAAACATTCAAATAAGAACTAACACCTATCCTCCTCAAACTGTTCCAAAAAGTCCAAGAGGAAGGAACATTACCAAACTGTTTTTACAAAGCCAGCATTAGTTTAATTCCAAAGCCAGATAAAGACACTACAAAGGAAGAGAATTACAAGCCAATATTCCTGATGAACATAAGTGCTAAAATCCTCCACAAAATATTAGCAAATCAGATCCAGCAATATATTAAAAAGATCATACATCACAAGCAAGTGGGATTTTTTCCAGGGATGCAAGGCTGGTCCAATATTCACAAATCAATTAATGTGATACATCACATAAACAAATTGAAAGACAAAAATCACATGATCAAATCAATAGATGCAGAAAAAGCATTCAACAAAATCCAACACCCATTTTTGATAAAAACTCTCAGCAAAGTAGGAATAGGGGGATCATACCTCAACATAATAAAGGGCACATATGACAAACCTACAGCCAACATCATACTCAATGGGCAAAAACTAAATGCATTTCCCCTATGAACAGGAAAAAGACAGGGCTGTCCACTTTCACCACTCTCATTCAACATAGTACTGGAAGTCCTCACCGCAGTGATCATACAAGAAGAAAGCATAGAAGGTATTCAAATTGGAAATGAGGGAGTAAAATTATCATTATTTGCAGATGATATGATATTGTACATAGAAAACCCTAAGGAATCTACCAAAAAACTACTAGATTTGATAAATGAATTAAGCAAGGTAGGAGGATACAAAATTAACATCCAAAAATTGATGGCACTTTTATACACCAACAATGATCTCTCAGAAAGAAAAACAAAAAAACAAACAAACAAAAAAACACAACAAACAAAAATCCCATTTACCATCACAACAAAAAAATTAAGATATTTAGGAATAAACTTAACCAAGGAGGTAAAGTTTACTGTACTGAGGAAACTACAGGATGATGAAAAAGAAGATAGAGGAAAATATAAACAAGTGGAAGAATATACTGCGTTCATAGATTTGCAGCATTAACATCACTAAAATGTCCATACTACCCAAAGTAATCTATAGATTCAAGGCTCTCTGTATTAAAATACCAACAGCATATTTCACAGATCTAGAATAAACACTCCAAAAATTTCTATGGAACCAAAAAAGACCGTGAAAGTCACAGCAATCTTGAGAAAGAACAAAGTGGAAGGGATTACAATATCTGATATCAAGTTATACTACAAAGCCACTGTAATCAAAACAGCCTGGCACTGGCACAAGAACAGGCATATAGATCAATGGAACCTAAAAATTGACCCAAACCACTAAGCTCAATTAATATTTGACAATGGAGGCAAAAAGCATACAATGGAGTAAAGACAGTGTCTTCAATAATAGATGTTAGAAAAATTGGATATGTACATGCAAAAAATTGAAACTAGTCCACCAACTTATACCATACACAAAAATAAACTCAAAATGGATAGAAGACTTAAATGTGAGTCGTGAAACCATAAAAATTCTAGAAGAAAACATAGGCAACAAAATAACAAACATCTCACATAGCAAAATATTCACAGATACATCGTCTAAGGCAAGAGAAACAAAGGAAAAAATAAAAAAATAGGACAACACCAAACTAAAAAGCTTTTGCACAGCAAGGGTAACCAGCATCAAAATGAAAAGGGAACCCACCATATGTGAGAACATATTTGCCAATGATACATCTGATAAGGGGTTAATTTCCAAAATATATAAAGTACTCATACAACTCAACAAAAAGAAGACAAACAATCCAATTAAAAGATGGGCAGAAGACCTGAATAGACACTTCCCCAAAGAGAACATACAAATAGCCAAGAAACATGAAAAAATGTTCAGTATCACTTATCATCAGAGAGATGCAGATTAAAGCGACAATGAGGTATCACCTCACATCTGCCAGAATGGCTATCATCAAATCAACAAATAGCAAGTGCTGTCCAGGATGTGGAGAAAAAGGAACCCTAGTACACTCTTGGTGGGAATGCAGACTGGTACAGCCACTATGGATAGCAGTGTGGACTGTTCTCAAAAAATTAGAAATGAAACTGCCATTTGACCCAGTGATCCCACTTCTAGGTATATATCCTAAGAAGCCTGAAACACCAGTCAGAAAGAATATATGCACCCCTATGTTCATAGCAGGTTTATTTACAATAGCTAAGATCTGCAAACAGCCCAAATGCCCATCAGTAGATAGATAAAAAAAACCTGTGGTACATTTGCGGAATGGAATACTATGCAACTATCAATAAGGAGGATCTCTTACCATTTGAGACAGCATTGAGGGACCTGGAGTGTATTATGGTAAGTGAAATAAGCCAGTTAGAGAAAGATATATACCACATGATCTCACTTCTACGTGGAATCTAATGAACAAAATAAACTGATGAACAAAATATACTGATGAACAAAATAGACCCAGAGACACTGAAGCATGCAACAGACTGACATATAGCATGGGTGGGTGGGGAGAGATTAATCAAAGAACTTATATGCACATATGCATGACCCACGGACACAAACAACAGTATTTTGAAAGCCTGGTGAGGGGTGGGCAGAGGGTGGAGAGGGTTAATGGGGGTAGGGGGAAGGGGGCATCTGTAAAACTTTCAACAATAAAGATATATTTTTTTTAAAAAAAGGAGGGGGAGAAAACTGTAACACCACAATAGTAGTGCTAGAAATGATGGTAGCAATAGTGGCCAATACCTTCATTGCAACTTTGGTCAACTTACAGCCAGCAGAGGTGACAGGATTTGTCCAAAGTTGCACAGCAAATTATTGGTAGTCCTGGGAATACATCTCAGGTTTTCCAACTCCTAGACTGTTCTTTTTTTCCATCATAAGTCTGATTCAGAGAACACCATTGATTGGCTGCACCTATCTGTACCTCATCCCATATGTGGTCCAGTGGTCCCTTGGTTCTTTTCCCACATTTGTGATGACAAAAGTTATGAGGCTATTGCAATTGTCCGGGCCTAACTAGGTTAATGGCAGTAGGCTTGTGAAGGAAAGGCATGAAGAATATATGCTTATAAACCACTTCAAAAAATATTCTGCAATGACTTGCCCACGGACTTATAGCTTGGAAGCTCTTCAGAAACCCAGTTGCCACCACAGGGCAGTCTGCTATCTCTGCAGAGTATCCTCATTACTGTTAACATTCGAGAGTAATGGAATGACAATTGGTGCTCAGAATCCTTAGAGCATCAAAGGGTGTGAGAAGGGTGGCAGTGTGCAAATCTGGGACTTGAGAACTCCTAGACCAAACCTGGAGTTTGAACCAGAATAGTGTGCTCCCCCAAAGAAAAGGGCATTTGCCAGACAGTAAAATGGCGGGAGCGACTACAGGCAAAGTGTCGCGATAGGAACCTTCGCGATGATCAGGTGATCAGAGTTTGAACCAGAACGGAGGGCGGAGGCAGGACCCCGGGTTGGGCTAGGAGTTGAGGAGTAAAGGGAAAGCCGGTGGCTGTGGCAGCCCTAGGAGCCCTGAGGGCTTCAAGCAGCGAGAACCGCGGTCATGGACTATATCACGGTGCCTAAGGTAAGGAGAAGAGTTAGGCAACGCTGGGAGCCAGGAGCTCCCCGTCTGTGCTCAGCCCGAGCCTAGGCACGCCTCCTCAAACTCTCAGTATGCCCTTTGATGCCCCCTTCCTGGTCCTGGACCGCGCGTACTTTCCTTGGTTCACGCTCTCTTTCAACAAAACTGAGCTCTTCTCCTCAGAACCTGCCTTCGAAGGGCAGCAGTACGGGGCATAGATGGTGTGCGTCAACCGTCCCCTCACGCAACGCTGCCTCCGCGCCTGGTACGCGCCTGTCTGGTCCCTCCTTGTCCAATGCCTCTGACCCTAGCTCCTCCCGGTAGCTTGGTACCCCAGCCGTTGCTTCACACAGCCCCTTTTACGTACAGTCGCTGCACTTGTAACCGCCTTTCTTGAATACCCTACATGTCATTTGTCATTGCCTCTCGGAGAGTTACTTCCTTTACCCAGCGTTTCCCTACCCTCCTCATGGCTCCCTCTGCCCCTCAGCCTGCCTTGAGGGCTGCGCAGACCACCACTGCGGCCCCAGCCCCGGCTCTCCAGCCTGCGTCTGTGGTGTTGGGCGCGGGG